TACTTTTCCTGATACCCTCAACTGATAATTCCTTCCCCTCTATGATTACCTTGTATCTACTTTAGTTGTTTTTTTTTATTCAATTTTATTTTATTTTTTGGTTTCTTGTATATACTTTGCATCTAAATTGCATGTATCTACATGTACATGTCTCTCTCATTAGAATGTAAGCCATTAAAGGGCCTTTTGATTTTGCTTTGTACCCTTAGCTCTTATTGTAGTAGTTGTTTTTTAGTTGATTGACTGATTGAACTCCCAAATATCCAATGATATTTTAATTGCAAAGTTCAATGACTTTTTTTTTCAGTCCTCATCCTTCTAGACCTTACTGTAGCATTTGATATTATTTTCCACTCTCTCTTCCTACATATTTTTTTTTCCCTTTCTGGGCTTTTGTAAAACTGTTGCCTCTTTTTCTCCTCCTACCTGCTTGACTAACCCTTTTCAATTCTTCTTTGGTGGGTCTTCATCCATGTTTTATCTGCTAATTATGGATGTCTTCCAAGATTTTTTCTTGTTGTTGTTGTTGAGTTGTGCCTGACTCTCTGTTACCCCATTTTGGGTTTTCTTGGCAAAGATACTGGAGTGAGTTGCCATTTCTTTCTCCAGCTCATTTTTACAAATGAGCAACTGAAGCAAACAGGATTAAGTAACTTGCCCAGGGTCATACAGTTCCTAAGTGTCTGAGGTCAGATTTGAACTCAGAAAGACGAGTCGTTCTGACATATCCACTGTACCACCTAGCCCTGGTAAATAGTAAGTACATAATAAATACTTGAATAAATTAACTGGAATTCAAAGAAAGTTTCTGAATTCTGCCAGCAGAGGGCACTATATTACTGCTCTAAAAATATGACATTGAAATTCAGGAGTAGATGGCAAAATAAATAAATAAATAAATAAAATAATTTAAGAGCTGAAGAGACTTTACTGTCATTTGGTTTTTAATCACCCTCCCTCATTTTACAGATGAGAAAATGAGGAGCAATGAGGTAAATAATTTCCTTAAATTTAAAAGTCAATTACTTAATCACCAAGCCACTATCAGAGTCTTAAAATGAAAAAATAAACAAGCTATTTTAATGTTTTAGAGTTGGTTACTTTATCTTTTCAAAGTGTAAAAGAACTTTTTGTGCTGTAATTCTTTCGAGTAAGGAGCATGTGTAGTTACTCTGTAGTTTCTACTAAGACATATCCTACTGTACCTGTTGAATTGAAAGAATGTTTTAAAACCAATTACTAAAACTACAAAGCCCAGGTGTGATGGGGTCAACTTTATTTTGGCCCAACTAGAAATTAAATCAAGGGCAGCTAGATGGTTCAGTGATAGAGAGCCTGGCCTGGAGCCAGGAAGACCTGAGTTCAAATCCAGCTTCAGATACTTTCTAGCTATGTAACCCTAAACAAGTCACTTAACCCTGTTTATTTCAGTTTCCTCATCTGTAAAATGAGTTGGAGAAAAAAAATGGCAAAACATTCCAGTATGTTTGCCAAAAACACCCTAAATAGGGTCACAAAGAATCAGACAGTACTGAAACAACTCAACAACAAAAAGAAATGAAATCTGAGTTTCCCTATCCTCAGCCCCATCCATATACCGCAATCACGTATTTCTCACTACAGTTTCTGAAAAGTTTTTTCCATAATAGATCTAATCTAAGTAATAGCATGAAATGGTGGGGAAAAGTTTCAATCTAGAAATAGGAGAAGCTAGGGTTCAAATCTTACCTCTGACACTTACTAATTCTGTGACTCTAAGCATGTCACTTAAACTCCCTGAACCTCTGGTATCTACGAGATTGAAGCGATAGTGTCCATGGGACTTGTTGTAAGGATCAACTAGAGATATCATATGCTCAGTAATTTACAAAACTTTAAAGCAATGTATAAATAAATATTATTAATATTACCTTCCATGCATTCTTTTTCTTTTGTTTTTGTGGAAACTATTTTTTACCTCATTACGAATTTTGGCATTTAGACTGGAGTATGGAAAGCACAAGGCTGTCCAGTTGTCAGCTCCCTATAAGTAGTCATTTTAAACTCAACCTGTCCAAAACAGAGCTCATTATTCTACCCCACTCTACCCTCAAGACCCCATGTGTTCTAGACACCCATCTTACTGTCCAGGGCACTACCATCCTCCCAGTCAACTGGACTTCTAACCGCTCTATTATCTCTGACTCCTCTCTCTTGACCACTATGTATGTATATGTATCTGATCAGTTGCCAGATCCCATAATTTCCTTGTCCACAATTTCTCTCACAAACTTTCCTTTCTCTTCACTCAGACAAATAGCAGCCTTGTTCATGCCTTTATGACCTCTCATTTGGTCTATCACAAAAAGCTTTCTCTGTCTCAAATCCTTCCCTACTCTATACCATCATCAATTTAGCTACCAAAATGATTTTGCCACCCTGCTTAAGAAACTCCAATGGCTCTCTCTTTTCATTAATATCAAATATGAAGTCCTTTGTCATTAAAAGCTCTTTACATCCTAGCCTCTTCCTACCTTTTCAATATTTGTGCATTCTATCCTTCTCCATATACTCTACGACCTAGCAATACTGGCTACCTTGTCCATGACACCCCATCTCCTGCCTCCATGTTTTGGAAGCTGTTTCCTATGCTTAGTAGCTGTTTCCTATGCTTAGTAGCTGTTTCCCATGCTTAGAAGCTCTCCTTTCTAATTTCTGACTTCTAGAAATCCTGGCATTCTTTAAGACTCAGCTAAAGCACCAAATCCTGCAGGAGACCTTTCCTTGTCTCCCAGTTAATAGTACAATCTCCTCTAGGGTTATGTTCTTTGTAATTAACTTGTATATTCTGATTTATAGATGTTTTTGCTTTGTCTTTGTTTCTGGAGTGCTTAAGGCAGCATCTGGCACATAGTAAGCACTTGATAAATACCTGTTGTTGGATTGATTCAGAGTATCTATGCTAGGGTAATGGCTGCATGCTTGGAATCCCTGCTACCTGGGAGGCTGAGGCTGGTGGATCTCAAGCATGAAAGTTCTGAGCTATCCACATTAAGATCAGCATTAATATGGTGAGTCTTTTGGAAAAGAGGACCACTAAGTTGCCTAAGGAGAGGCAAACAGCCCAGGTCAGAAAAAAAAGCAGGTCTTGGAACTTCTTAAGTGAGGTGGTGATGTGGACCCACTTACACTTTAGGAAATCATTTTGGTAACTGAAATGGTGATGGTGCAGAATGGGGAAGGACTTGAGATAGGGAGAGGTTATTGCTAACAGAGGTGGAATAGACCCTGCATTTCTAGACTGGGTGAAATAGTAAGAACCAGACTTAATTAAAAAAAAAAAAAGCAAGGCCAAGCAAGAAGAAACATATTGGTTATCCTTTTTCAGGAGTAAGAAAATCATAGAATTCATCCCTGGGCAGGTCTGCAACACAAATTAATCTTAAAGACATCCAGAACTAAGAAAAAAAAGAGCACATGATTTTCTGAAGAACAAGGAAAATTCAAATGTGGGACTTCAGTAAGAACAAAGGATCGTGAGACAGGTTTAGCACTGGAAGGGGACCCTAGTGGCCATTTTACAGATGAGGAAAACAAGGACCAGAGAAATGGAGCAATTTGAACAAAATCATCCAGATAATAAGTGACAGAGCCTGGAATCAAACTCAGTTCTTCTGACTTAAAATCCTTCACCCTTTCCACTACACTATGCAGTCTCACTTCCGAATAAATGATTAGAATATTTAATTAGTAAGAATATTTTATATCTGCATAGCCCCTCTTCATTTTCCAAAGTCATTCTACAACCACCCTCTCATCTGTGCACTACTCCATGTTCTCCACATTGCAGTCCTCGGTGAGCACCGATGGGAAAATGTAAATTGGCTTTCAAAAAATCTATAGTTCACCTATGGATAATCCAATATTTTCCTACTGTATTATCATCAGCCCACCCCATTGTCAGATATTATAAACCTGACTTTCCTCTCTAAAGTTTGGGAGAAGAACTTTTGTAAGCATATTGGAGAACCTCAATAATTTTCCCCCTGATACTTTTCACAAGTATTTCTTGTTCAGCCATTCAATCATACCCCTACTCTTTGTGAGCTCATGGACCAACTGTCCATGGGGTTTTCTTGGCAAAGATACTGGGATGGTTTGCCATTTCTTTCTCCAGTTTGATGCAGGCAAGAGTTAAGTGACTTGTCCAAGGTCATACAGATAATAAGTGTCTGAGGTCAGACTTGAACTCTGATCTTTCTGACTCCTGAGCCAGTGCTCTATCCACCGTACCATCATCTAGCTGCCCCTTCACAAATATGAGAAATACCTACATATACCCTGGCTTAATGGTATGATTAGGGAACATGGTTGAAGTAAGATAAAAGAAAGCAAAAAAATATATTAAAAGTCTACGATATGCTCTGTACCACACCAGAGACACCCAGGTACACAGAGCACAGCTGACAGCTGTGTACAATCAGTAATTGTTTTATGCCAGGATGATCCTACTAAATACTAGCCAGTTCTAGACTCTCTTGGTAGAATTCTTGCTACACATACTCTGTTGTCGCACTAGATTACATGTTGGACCAGTGCCCACAAAAACTGGAGTAATATGAAGGGTAATTTCCCCTCAGAAAACCCCAAATCTTACCCATTCAAACAGCATGGGTCAGTGGTTAAGAGAACTTTTTTTGAAACATCTATTTTTTTGTTATGAATTGCAATTCTCTTCTTCCCTCCAGTTGTTCCCCTACCCATTGAGAAGGCAAGCAATATTAAATTCCTTATACGTGTGAAGTCATGCAAAACATATTTCCATATTAGTCATGTTGCAAATAAAAAAGCAAGAAAAATAAAGAAAATGAAAATTATATATATATATTACATATATATATATATATACTTTAATCTGAATTCAGACTTTATCAGTTCTAAGAAAACCTTTTCAAGCATCCACTCACTATTGACCATTTATTTCAGTTCCTTAAGAGAAAATCCAAGGTTGCAGAACTTACCCCCTAGAGTTTCATCCTTGGCTTGGTAAGTTCGGTATAGAAGGATTATTTCAACCCAGTAACGATAGATGAAGGCACTTGTCATGAGGATTACCACCAGTGTTATAGTGGTGCCAAACAGTATGTATGTGAAAAACACTGGGAAGAAAAAAATTACAGGTGTTTTTCTCCATTAATACTCTTGCAAGCAACAGGTCTATAAAAAAGACCATGTTTGCATAAGAATACACTGTAAAGGAACTCGTATTCCCAAACAGAGCCTTTTAGCTTACAATCATTTTCATAAAAACCCCTCCATTGGAAGCATTCTCCATTCATATGTTCTAACTCTTTGGAGAAAACCAGATGAAAGACAGTATTAGATGTACATGGATTCCTGGATTGGGTGTCGGATCTCAACTTGCCACTTAATAGCTATATGACCTGGGGCAAGTTATTTAATCTCTCTGGGCTTGTTTTCTCACCTTAAAAGTTAGGTGGTTGGGTTTAGATCACTTTCAAAGTCCCTTCCAATTCTAACATAATACACTTATTATGTTTGGAATGAGTGAGGAAGCCCAGGAACTCTGAGGACATTTATTCCTGAGAATTTGTCGTATAGTATTAGATTGCAAGCTCTCAGAGGATTGGCACTTGCTCAAGAGAAGTCTAGATTGTTATAAGGGCCCTGTTGGTTTCCGGAGTCAGCAGATAGAGCATTGGGTCTGGAGATAGGAAGAACTAAGACAGCCTCAGACACTTGCTAGCTGAGTGACCCTCGGCAAAATGCTTAACTTCTGTCTGCCTCAATTTTCTGAAATGTAAAATGGGGATAATGATAGCACCTACCTCTCAGAGTTATTGTGAGAATCAAATGAGATAATATTTGCAAAACACTTAGCACAGTGCCTGGTATATAGTAGATGTTTAATAAATGCTTATTTCTTTTATTCCTTTCTTCCCAATAAATATGAGCAATAGGATTAGTCCCTAGGGGTTGGCAGTTAGTTAGAAGTGAAGTTAAAAATAGAACTAGATTTCTCTTTAACAACAAAGCCTACCTCATACCCACTTCCCTGTAGACACGGATAGACCACATCTCTAACATGATGCTTTGGGGTTTACCTCTTCTTTTCTGTTTCAGCTTGATGGTCCATGTAGCATTCCCCACAGAATTCTGAGCAAAACATATAAAAGTCTTTTGTAGATCCTTTTTAGTTACTTGCTTCAAGCAGGCAGTATAATATATAGTTTGCCTCTCCACCTGGTTGTCAATACTAGGAAAGAAAGACACTACTGTCATGTCCCTAGGTCATCATCTATGGAAAGAACACATGTCGGCACCTCCTGTGAGCCTACTGATATCTCAGTATACTTATCAATAGTCATAAGAATGAGAAATTTATTTCAGAAATGGCATAAAGTGGAAGGAAAGTGTTGAATTTGGAGTCAGAGGACTGGGTTCTGAGTCCCTAGCTTTGCTATTCACTACCTATCCAAACTCTCTCTCCCAAGTCATTTTCCCAAAGACAGAAGTCTTTGGGCCACAGTTTTATATCTGTGGAATGAGAGGTTTGGCTTACATCATTTCTAAAGACTCTTGTTTATCTAGATCCTATGATCCAATGTCTTTATGATTCAATCTGGATGTATTTAATAGGAATAAGAAGTCAGAGCTGGATTATTATGCTGGATGCACTTGTCCTAAGGCTTAATAGTAATGATATGGAAGAGACAGTGGCCCTGAGGAAGGTCAAATTTCAACCATCTGGCTAAAAAATGTACAGGACTGGAAGTTAGGAGCTGTAACATTGAATGCTTTCTCTAGCACTATATTACAATTATTCTTTCTACCTTTGCATTAAGATACTGTGTGTGTTTTTGTGTGTGTGTTTGTGTGTATGTGTGTGTGTGTGTGTGTGTGTCTATGAATGAGAAGGGTACATAGAGAAAGGACTATATATGGTTTGTGATTATGTATGTATAGATGAGAAAGAGATATGCATATATGTATGTATAGGAGCTGACCGATGATCCCACTTCTTATAATAATGGCCTATATGAGCTTGGACAAGTCCCTTAACCTTCTTCTACCTCGGTTTCCTCATCTATAAAAGAGAGGTGTGGACTAGATGGCTCCCAAGTTCCTTCCACCTCTGGTGCTATGATCCTATGACCCCATTTCATTGATGTAGGAATTCCTAATAAAGCATCTCCTTCTACCAATGTAAATGGGTACATGGTCTGCAACTTAGAATCACAGAAAGTTGTCTGGGGAACTGAAACATTAGGTGACTTGCCAAGGGTCCCATAGTATGTGTCAGAGGTAAGACTTGAGTCCTGGTCTTCTGTCTCTGACTCTCTGTCCATCTACCTGTCATCTTTTTTTCTCTCTCTGTAAATGTGTGTGCACACACATGCATATGTATGTATGTATGTATGTAAAAATCACATACTATATATGTGCACAATGTGTATATACATATGTGTGTAACTGCACTTACACAGTTTCCCAAAATGTTATTAAATCTGTTAAAGCTTAAACCCACATTAAGACTTTTCAGACACTTTGTATAATTTATAGGATCAGAAATCTAGAGCTAAGAAGGATTTTAGGAGTCAACTGGTCCATTTGTTTCATTTTACAGATGATGAAACTGATATGTAAGAAGATAAAGCATTTAATAAAGCTAGAGCTGAATTTCATTGGATTTTCATTTTACCTTATGTTTGCTTGTCTTAGTTCTTCCCTGTTAAGCTCAGCATCTTCGACATACCATTTTACCACAGGGTTGAAATTTCTTTCCTGGCCAAAATGTACTTTGCATTCAAGAGTCAATGGCATTCCTAGAAATACGGAATAGGAAGGAAGAATATGATCATTTTACAGATGAGGAAACTGAGACTGAGAACCATGAAAAAGGCAAGGGAGTTGTTCACAAAGATGAACACTGCTGGGGGCAGCTAGGTGGTGCAGTGGATAGAGATCCAGCCTTGGAGTCAGGAGGACCTGAGTTCACTTGACACTTGACACTTACTAGCTGTGTGACCCTGGGCAAATCACTTAACCCCGATTGCCTCACCAAAAAGCAAAAAAAAAAAAAAAAAGTCAGTTCTGGTAGAAGAGATGCAAATAAGGAACAACAGAGATAAAATGATTTCCATTGTCCATATGTCCAAGGCCCCTTCCAAGGAGATTTAGGTCCAAACTTACCAAGTTCCACTTCCAACGTAACTGGGTCATTTGTTGGATTAACAATGATTGGTGCAAGTGAAGTATTTTTCACTGGAAGAGAAAACAAAGCTTTACACTTTGCACTACAAAAACTGACAAATTTGTTTATAACCTTTTGGAACAAGGTCTTGATTTGGAGACAAGCATTTCAAATTTTCATCCTCCCTCATCAATTCCCAGCACCATAATACTAGGACAGCAAGTTTTTTGTTTTGTTTTGTTCTGCTATGTTGTGTGTGTGTGTTGGGAGTGGAGGGTAGGATTCTTATCTTAAAGACTTCTAAATGAAAGTGTATTTCCCAAAGACTCAGTAAGGGAATACTATCACATAATGCTTTCTTCACAAGTTGGGACAAGCTTATGGAACAACACTTGACATTTTTGAGGTTATGACCCCTTCCTAGAAGAGCAATGACTTGCCTGAGATCACATGGGTTGTACACACACACACACACACACACACACACACACATGCATACACATACACATACACACACACCCCTATATAGGGTGTTCAAAAAATCTTTTGCTATTGAATCTTCAAATAGCACCAAGGTTTTTCGCGACAGCTTGTGTATACATATATACCTACCCATAAACATGCTTCTCTTCTCACCTTAATAATATAAATCTTTCATTTTTCTCAATGAGTTCCATTATTATCTTATCTACCACTGAAAAGTATCCCTTCAGTAGTTTGTTGGCATGCCATTAAAATTGTAAATTAACATTAGTGGTAGTCTTATTAATAACATATTAACATGGCCCAGCCATGGGCAATGAATATTCCTCCAGCTATTCAATTGGTTCCTTTTATCTTTAAGAAGTGCTTTGCAAATTTTGAATGATTCCCAAAATATATGGATTTTATATGATTAAAAAATAGATAGATATTACCTCCCATTTACTGCTTATATGTCTTATATGTACATGGTTATTGTCATATTGTCTCCCAAATAAATAAAATTTGAGTTCCTTGAAGGCAGGAACTTTTTGTGTGTGTGTGTGTGTGTGTGTGTTTTCAGCACTTAGCACAATGCCTGGCATGTAGTAATCCCTTGATAACTGCTTATTGTTCATGATAACATATGTAACAGCAGATTCAGAAAACCTTATCTAGAGATTAGATATAAGGCATTATTAGCGTAAATAAGAATTTCTGCCCCTGGTGCATTCATTGCGAACTATGCCCAGGGCAATATGGAACCAGCAGTTGGTGAGGACACTAGGCTATGGAGGAAGACAGAAACCCTAGGATACCACAAGGCTGCCCCTCCTCAATCTCTTCTTCCCCTTCCTGCCAAGGAATCAAGCCATTTTATAACTTTCAATTTCAACTCACTTTCCTTGTTCAATTGTTCAGTCATGTCTAACTTTTCATGACCCCATAGACCATACTGTTTATAACATTTTCCTGGCAAAGATACTAGAATGGTTCGTCATTTCCTTCTCCAGTGGATTAAGGCAAACAGAGGTTGTGACTTGCCAAGGTCACACAGACAGTAAGTGTCTGAGACCAGATCTGAATTCCAGTCTTCCTGACCCTAAGCCCAGAGTTCTATCCACTGAGCCATACCCAACCCCCCAACCCCTTTATAGGTAACTGCTAAGGTCATTTGTTGTTTTTGTTGTTTTTGCATATTAAGCATCCAAAAAAAATCCTACTACTGGGGGGAGGAGAGGTGTTGGAATGGAAACTCTTATGGGGAGGCAATTAGGTGGCACAGAGGATAGAACACTGAACCTGGAGTCAGGAAAATCTGAATTCAAATCTAGTCCCAGAAACTTAGTAACTGTTTGTCCCTGGGTAACTCACTTAACCTCAGTTTTCTTATCTGTAAAATCAGTATAATAATAGCACCTACCTCTCAAGGTGGTTGTGAGGATAAAGAGAGAGAATGTTTGTAAAGCCATTTGTAGGCCTTAAAACAACTTCTATATGCTAGATATTATTATTATGATTATTATTATTCTAGAAAACAGATAATTTGGGAGAGAGCTCTGAAGGAAGCTGGGAAAGTATTTGTTTTGTTTTATTAATATAACCTTTAAAGATAAAATGTTTTGAAAGCTTTAAGTGTTAATAAAGTTAAAATTGCACTAAAATTTTTGGGACACTGATTTTTAAAACTACATGGGCTTTGTAAATTTATAGTGAAAAACCTCTCTATATAGAGAAATTAAATAAAGCTTCTTTTTTACTGACTTTAAAATGTAAATAGTGAAGTTTTTTTTTTCCCCATGACTAGGGCTTTTATCTAATTATTACTTATGCACAGAGTAATGACACTAAGACCAACTAGCTTAATTTAACGTGAGTCAGAATCTCAGTGCCATATTTTAAAGAATTTCATTGAACTGAATATTACTTACCAACGGTTTTCACTTCAACAACTGCTCTAACTAACCACCACGTTGAGTTAATAGACTGGTTATAATCACATACATACACACCGTGATCTTGATGGTAAATTTCATCAAAGACTATGTGGGTGTTTTTCCAATAAGGACATAGCATTCCATTCTAATACAAGAGAAAACAAAAATCAAATAATCAGACTTTCAGTTTTATCATGAATTCATAGTAGTCGTCCCGTTTTCTATGACAATGACATACTTTAGTAAAACCTTAATGATTTGGTCAGTCCAAATTATAGGAAGTCCCACCCTTACAAACCACCTTTACCTCGAAATTTATTTATAAATTAGTTTGGAATTTGGAATGCATTTTCCCATAGAAACAATGTTATATGAGGTAGTTGTACCCTCCTCCCTGTCATAAGTGAGTTCAAAAAAGCTCCTTATGTTTCTGAAATATTTTACCATTAGAACTCTAATCAGTAACAGTCAATAGTCAATTAACAAGCAGTAAGCAATCAAAGAACATCTATTAAGGACCAACTATGTGCCAGGCACTGTGTTAAGCTCTAGAGATACAAAAAGAGGCAAAAGTCTCTACCTTCAAGGAGCTAGTAGGTGAGGCAACATGAAAATAAATATATGCAAAACAAGCTATACACAGGATAAATAGGTAGTAATTAACAGATAGAAGGCTTTAGAATTAAGAGGGGCTGCAGAAGGCTTCCCGTAGGAGGTGGGATTTTAGTTGGGACTTAAAGGATGACAAAAAGGTCAGTAGTCAGAGTATATGGGAGAGAACATTCCAGGTATGGGGGATAGCCAGAGAAAATGCCTGGAACTGAGAGATTGAGTGTCTTGTTTGTGAAACAGGAAGGAGGTCAGTGTCACTGGATCAAATAACAGGTGTTTGGGTGTAATGTGTAAGAGGACTGAAAAGGTAGGAGGGGACTAGGTTACAAAGGGCTATGAATGCCAAAAAAAGAGCATTTTGTATTTGGTCCTAGATGTAATAGGGAGTCATTGGAGTTTATTGTAGGAGGGGGTGACATGAACAGACCCTCACTTTATGAAAATCACTTTCTTGACTGAATGAGAGATGGATTGGGATGGAGAGAAAGTTGAAGCAGGTAGACATATCCAAAGGCTATTGCAATCATAAAGGCAAGAGGTGATAGAAGGCCTACACCAGAGTGGTGGCAATGTCAAATGTTTTCAAGAGATGTTGCAAAAGTGAAATTTACAAGTCTTGGGAACAGATTGGATAAGGAGAGTGAAAGATAGTAAGAAATCCAGGATGACTTCTAGGTTGCAAGCCTGAGGGACTGGGAGGATGGTGTTGCCCTCTACAGTAACAGAGAAGCTAAGAGGTGGGAAAGGCAGTCAGTTAGATAGATAGATAGATAGATAGATAGATAGATAGATAGATAGATAGATAGGTAGGTAGATAGATAGAGGGATGGATATATAGATATAAATATAGATAGAAAAGACAATGAGTTTCATTTTGGACATATTGAGGTGAAGGTGTTTACTGGACATCCAATTCAAGATGTCTGAAAGGAAGTTGGAGATGGGAGATTGGAGGTCAGGAGAAAGTTTGGGGTAGGATAGGTAGATTTAAGAATCAACAGCGTAAAGATGGTAATTAAGCCCAGGAGCTGAGGAGATCACCAAGTCAAGTAGTATAAAGGGAGAAGAGAATAGTCTAAGATAGAACACTGAGGGAACATCTACAGTTAGAGGGTGTGATCTGGAAAAAGATCCTGCAAAGGAGACAGAGAAGTGGCCAGATAGGTAGGAGGAGAAGGAGGAGAGCCTGGTGCTCCCAAAGCCTAGAGATTAGAGAGTATGAAGGAGGAGAAAGTGATCAATAGTGCTGAAGAATGCAAAGAAGTCATTGGGCTTGGCAACTAAGAGATTATTAGTAACTTCAGAGAGAGTACTTTCAGTGGAATGATGAGGTTAGAAGCAGAATTTTGAGGGGTTAAGATGAGAGTGAGAGGTGGGGTGGAGCCATGATGGTGGAGTAAAAGCAATGACTTGCTTGAGCCCCTCAACCTCTCCAAATACTTGTAAAAATGGCTCTACACAAATTCTAGAGCAGCAGAACCCACAAAAACACAGAGTGAAACAAATTTTTCAGCCCAAGACGACCTGGATGGTTGATTGGAAAGGACTATTGTGCCAGACTGGGAGAGGAGCACAGCAGTTCAACATGGGCCCTGTAGGCAACAGGCCTCACCGAACCTGGAGCACACCTCAGGGGACTGAATCACAGGCAGCTGTGGCAGGTTCCAGACTTCTCAACCCACAAATGCCAAAGATAACTTAGAAAGTCAATAGAAAAGGTCTGTCTGACTACAGTGAGAGAGAGAGAAGCTTGGTCCCAGCTCCAGTCCCAGCACAGCCCTGGGGCAGTGGCTGCTTCTGGAGCTCTCAGCCCACAGATTGTGGGGGAATCCAGTGGCTGATCAGAGGGGGATTGCAGGGATCTCTTTGCTGGTGCTAAGGCAGGATTCTCTTGCTTTGCCCTTGCTTGGATCTGGGTCACAGTTCTGGGTGGTGGTCCTGGGGCAAGGAGGAGTGCTGGCATGGTGGAACTTGTAGTGGCAGTGAAAAGAGAATCCTCCTCATAGTTTCAAGGCAGAAAAGAGTGCTTGTGGTCACTCATAGACCAGAGCACAGACCAGGAAAGGAGTAAACACCTAGCCCCTTATCATACCACCTTGGAAGAACTGAAAATTTATAGGTCCCTAGAAGTATCACTGAAAACAGCTGCACAAAACCCCCAAAGCTTGGGACAGTACAGCTTTCACACTAGAAGCAGACCCCTACCTTAGCAAAGAGTTTAAAACTCAAGTAACTGGCTAGAACATGAGCAAACAGCGCAAAAAAGTCAGATCATAGAATCTTTCTTTGGTGACAAAGAAGATCAAAACATACAACCAGAAGAAGACAACAAAGTCAAAGCTCCTACATCCAAAGCCTCTAAGAAAAATATGAATTGGTCCCAGGCCATGGAAGAGCTCAAAAAGGATTTTGAGAAGCAAGTAAGAGAAGTAGGGGAAAAATTGGGAAGAGAAATGAGAATGATGCAGGAAAAGCATGAAAAACAAGTCAACAGCTTGCTAAAGGAGACCCAAAAAATACTGAAGAAAAAAATACCTTAAAAATAGACTAACCTAAATGACAAAAGAGGTCCAAAAAAGCCAATAAGGAGAAGAATGCCTTAAAAAGCAGAATTGAGGGGCAACTTGTTGGCACAGTGGATAGAACACTGGCCCTAGATTCAGGAGTACCTGAATTCAAATCCAGACTCAGACACATAACACTTACTAGCTGTGTGACCCTGGGCAAGTCACTTAACCTCATTGCTTAGCACCCCCTCCCAAAAAAAACCAGTAGAATTGGCCAAATGGAAAAGGAAGTCCAATAGCTCACTGAAGAAAATACTTCCTTAAAAATTAGAATGCAGCAAATGGAAGTGACTTTATGAGAAATCAAAACATTATAAAACAAAACCAAAAGAATGAAAAAATAGACACTGTGAAATATCTCATTGGGAAAACAACTGACCTGGAAAATAGATCCAGGAGAGATAATTTAAAAATTATTGGACTATCTGAAAGCCTTGATCAAAAAAATAGCCGAGACATTATCTTTCAAGAAATTATCAAGGAAAACTGCCCTGAAATTCTAGAACCAGAGGGTAAAATAGAAATGGAAAGAATCCACCAATCACCTCCTGAAAGAGATCCCCAAAGGAAAACCCCTAGTTATATTATAGCCAAACCCAGGTCAAGGAGAAAATATTGAAAGCAGCCAGAAAGAAACAATTCAAGTATTGTGGAGACACAATCAGGATAACACAAGATTTAGCAACTTCTACATTAAGGGACCAGAAGGCTTGGAATATGATATTCCAGAGGTCAAAGGAGATATGATTACAACCAAGAATCACCTACCTAGCAAAATTGAATATAATCCTTCAGAGGAAAAAAATGTACATTCAGTGAAATAGAAGACTTTCTAATATTCTTGATGAAAAGATCAGAGCTGAATAGAAAATTTGACTTTCAAATACAAGATTCAAGAGAAGCATGAAGAGGTAAACAGAAAAGAGAAATCATAAAGGATTTATTAAAGTTGAACTCTTTACATTCCTACATGGAAAGATGATATTTGGAACTCACGAGACCTTTGTCAGTATTAGGGTAGTTGGAGGGAAAAATTATGTGTATGTATGTATAGATATAGATATAAATATAGATGTAGATATAGATATAGGTAGATGAATGGATGGATGGATGGATGGATAGATGGATAGATGGATGGATGGATGGATGGATAGAGGGCACAGGGTGAGTTGAAAATGGAGAGATATCTAGAAAATAAAATTAAGGGGTGAGAGAGGATTATACTGGGAGAAGGAGAAAGGGAGGATAGAATGGGGTAAATTATCTCACATAAAACAGACAAGAAAAAGCTTTTACAGTGGAGGGGAATTGGGGGAAGGTGAGAGGGAATAAGATTCACTTATTCTTATCAGATTTGGCTTAAGGAAACATACACTCTCAATTGGGTATCAAAATCTATCTTACCCTACAGGAAAATAGAGGGGGAAAAGGATAAGAAAGTAAGGGGGGATGATAGAAGAGAGGGCAGTTGGGGGAGGGAGTAATCAGAAGCAAACACTTTTGAGGAGGGACAGGGTCAAAAGAGAAAATAAATGGGAGGTGGGATAGGATGAAGGGAAATATAGTTAGTTTTTCACAACCTGACTACTATGGAAGTGTTCTGCATGACTATACATGTATAACCTATATTGAATTGCTTGCCTTCTCAATGAGGTTGGGTGGGGAGGGAGGAAGGGAAAAAATCTGGAACCCAAAATTTTAACAAATGTTAAAAATTGTTTTCACATGCAACTGGGAAATAGAAATTTATTCTGCCCTACAGGAAAATAGAAAGGGAAGGGGATGAGAAGGGCCTAATGATAAATGGGAGGGCAGATTAGGGGAAAGGGTATTCAGAATGCATGCTGCCTTGGGGTGTGGGGAGGGGCGAGATGACGAGAAAATTTGGAACTCAAAATCTTGTGGAAGTGAATGTTGAAAACTAAAAATAAATACATAAATAAAAAAACAAATAATGAAGAAGCGAGTGAGAGGAGAGAAAGTGAAGGCATCCATTATAGACAGGCTTTTCCATGAGTTTAGCTATGAAGAGCAGAAGAGATATAGGGCAATAGTTAGTGGGGATGAAAGGATTAAGGGAAAGTTTTTTTCAGGATAGGGGAAAATAAGCCAATAGAAAGAAAAAGTTTGAAAATATGTGAAAGAATGGGCATGATAGAGGGGGCAATATGTTACAGGAGGCTGAATGGAACAGGGTCACCTTAACAAGAAGAGAAGTTAGTCTCAGTAAGGAGTAAGGGCAACTAATCGTGTGAGATGGGAGGAAGATATAGTGACAGAAGGCACTTATTATGTGTTAGGAAATGTGCTAAGTACTAGGAATACAAACATGCAAAACACAGACTCTTGCCCTCAAAAAGCTTACAATATAATACAGGAAAGATAATATGCAAAAGGAAAGCTGAAAAGTGGGTGGAGAAGTCAAGACATACAAAATGAGAAATGTGTGCATCCAGAGAACTAAAGGATCAAAATGATGAAGGTGTTCTAAACCCTTAGGAACAATATTTCTAAGGGAGAACTTGCTTAGGATTCCAGGCTAAGAATTTATTTTTCCTCATTCTGATGAGTTTGAGGATTTTCTCTTCCCATCTTCCCCATTTGCAAAGAAGACTCTCTTAGCCACAGACCACTAATGTCAGCTCTTGTGTCTCAGGAAAGAGGATCTGCAATGTCAGAGGCTTCAGCGGTTAAGTGGAAATGATGGTGAGCAGAGAAGGGAAGAGGTACTTCCAGAGGCTAGGGGTGATAAGGAGCTATGGGGATCATAAGATCAAGAGTGTGCTGGACACTCCCCAACTAATAAATGGGGATAGAAACAGGCAGTTTTCAGATGAAGAAATCAAAGCTATCTATAGTGATATGAAGAAATGTTCTAAACCACTATTGATTAGAGAAATGCAAATGAAACCAACTCTGAGGTACCACCTTACAACTATCAGATTGGCTAATATGACAGAAAAAAAAAATTGATGAATGTTGGAAAGGATGTGGGAAAATTGGGACACTAAAAAAAATTTAAAAAAAGAAAAAAAAGAAAATTGGAACACTAATGCATTGCTGATGAAGTTGTGAACTGATCTAACTATTCTGGAAAGCAATTTGGAGTTATGCCCAAAAAGCAATCAAACTGTGCATACCCTTTGATCCAGCAAGACCACTACTAGGTCTGTATCTCAAAGAAATCACAAAAAAAGGGAAAAGGACCTACATATACAAAAAAAATTTACAACAGCTCTTTTTGTAATGGCAAAGAATTGGAAACTGAGGGGATGCCCATCAATTGGGGAATAGCTGAACAAGTTATGGTATATGAATGTAGTGGAATACATTGTGCTATAAGAAATGATGAGCAGGCAGACTTCAGAAAAACCTGGAAAGACTTATATGAACTGATGCTGAGTGAAATGAGCAGAACCAGGAGAACATTATACACAGCATCAGCAACATTGTACCATGATCAACCGTGAATGACTTAGCTCTTGTCAGCAATACTACGATCCGAGACAAGTACAAAGGACTCACAAAGGAAAATGCTATCCACATCCATAGAAAGAACTGATGGAGTCTGAATGCAGATCAAAGCATACTATTTTCATTATTTTCACTTTCTTTTTTTGTGGTTCTTTTCTTCTGTCCTGTTCCTTCTTTCACAACATAACTAACATGGAACTATGTTTTACATGATTGCACATACATAACCTATATCAAATTGCTTACTATCTTAGAGAGGGGATAGTGAAAGAGGAGGGAAGAAAATTTAGAACTCAAATTGAAAAAAATGAATGTAATAATTGTCTTTATATGTAATTAGAAAAAAGAAAATGCTATTTTTTAAAAAGGAGTGCTGGAGCCAGCTTGAACTGGCAGAACTGGTTGTTAAGTTTTATTGTTTTGTTGATTATTTAGACTTAAGAACACAACGAAGAAAATGTTAACAATGAAGATTAAACTTAAAGGTGTGTCCTACATATGTTTTATTATTTGGAGAGCCAGTTATTAATGTTTTACCAGCATATACCTACATAGTATCACAGGTTCAGAGTTAAAAGGAATCTTAGAGATCATCTACTTTAATTCTATCATCCTTGAACCCCAGAAAAGGGAAGTGATTTGTGTACAGTCACACTGGTAATAAGCAGGTGTAGGATTTGAACATAGATCCTCTGAGTCCCATCCAATGTTCATTCTGCTGTACCATGTTGCTGCTTTGAAAATGAATGGTACCAAAAGGTTTCACTAAGTGACTTGCCATTTCTAAGTTGACAGGGATTCAGGGAAGAAGGGGACTGGAGATGGAGAAGTGATAGAACTAGATATGCAGGAACTCTTGCAACAAAAACAATGAAAATGGTTATAAAAGACTAGAAAAATCCAACTATGACCAAAATATGCCACTGATTATCAATCATTAATTTGTACTTAGATTGAATCTCAAAATGAGTTTCACAATGACATCTACTAATGATGCTACGAATTCTAACTGTTCTCCCAGTACCTCAACTAAAGTTTTGCTATTCTCATGATCTTTTTTTTCCTTTTAAGATCGAGTCTCCCTATCTTTCTTGGACTAGAAGTACAGTAGCCACTCATGAACACATAAGCCTTAACCTACCGTGCTTTTCTAAAATGGGCCAGTTTGCCCCTCTGTTCCTGAAGGTTCACCACATTAGTCTCAACCTTATTGTGTACACCCTTTAGGCTATTGCCCTACTGCATCTCAGAACCCCTATATTCAATGATTCATAAAACCTCAAAAGTAGGCATTACAGGCGTGCACCATAATGCTGTTCTCATAATTTACTCTCCTAATCAGAGGCATTATACAGTTAGTAATCATCCTTCTCACTTAACTTACCTCGTAACCGGAAGCAAAAATGTGCAATACTTACTGTGGTCTATAGCCTCTTGTTTTTGTTGCATTAATTCAATAATGTAAGAAAATTAATGTTTCCTCTCTTTTCCAAATCCCTAGAAAAAGCTTTCTTTCCCTTCCTCTCCTTTCATTCTTTCTTCAATACTTTGCAATCTGGCTGCCCACCTCCTCACACAACTGAAACTATTCCCTTCAAAGTTACCAACAATCTCTTATCTGGCAGACCTGATGGTCTTTTCTCAGTCCTCATATTTCCTAACCTATCTGCAGCATTTGACTCTGTTTACCACCTTCTCCTCCTGGATATACTTTTTCTTTCTGGAATTTCATGACACTCAATTTTTCCTAATATCTTTCTAATCTGTTTGACAACTCTTCTCAGTCTCCTTTGCTGTTTCATCTTCCATATCATGCCACCTAACCGTGGATGTGCCCAAAGTTCTCTACTGGGCCTTCTTTTCTCTCTATATTCTCCTCTGTCCTGGGCTGTGCCTAACCTCATGACCTTTCCTTCAAACACATATTCCACTCCTTCAAGGTCCTACCTTCTGCTTACTCAGGTGACAATTAATTATCTGATAAATTAAGCTGGGCTAAATTAACATATGCTAATGGGTTCATGGATTATCTTTCCCTATAGAATATTTACATTTCAACCAAGATATTCTAGAGATGGTACTTTACCTAAAGACATGACTCTAAAGGTGAGATCTTTTGGCACTCTTTGCACAATTCTATGTAAGTACTAAAGGTGAACCAGTCACCTTGGCATCAGAGTTTTAGTCTTCTGGGTCTACTATAGGGCCAACTCTGTAGAATTTAGAGATCCTATATTTAAGTCTTTAACTTGCTCATTATGAGAATGGTGCTTGTGTTTTATACTTGATGTCTCTTGGTGACACAATTCAGTCATTCTTACCTTGTACCAAGTCACGTCTTGCCTTTGTAAATCTCCCTCACAGTTCACCCCAGGACAAGGAACTGAATCAGTGCTACCAATGAGAAGATAGAGCTCATTTTTTACAGAGTCCATACAGGGTGTCTTTTCCTTTGGCTGAACTTCTACAGTTATATTAAGAAAACAAGTTACCTCCTTCGATTTTCTGGAAAAGATAATAAGCTCCAGTAAACACATTTACTGTATCAAAATAAAACAAAGATTAGATAGTATTTTCAGATAGGAATGAGCATTACCTGGACTCCTTTATTGCCTTTGGCTTATATTTGATTGCACAAATATAAGACCCAGCATCATTGATACCAATTGGTGAAAACTGAAGTAAATTATTTTCCCATGTGATGTGAGGGTGGTCATTCTGAATAGCATATGGTTGTGATCCATTTTGAGGTTGTTTGTACCACTGGACCCTTTGGCACAAAGTTCCACCACACATCTGTCTCATTGAAACATTTCTCTTTTTGCAGAGACCTGGTTTAGGAACATCACAGAATAATAAAAACTTCTCTCCACTCCTTGCACGGTATCTCCAGGTGTTTTCTGTAGAAGGGCATCCTGAAAAAGAGAGTAACAGATAACTGTAGAAACTTGTAAGAGGATGAAGTTCATAGTCAGATTCCGTTTGATAAGTATACCAATATCTTCTACAATCTGATTTGATAGCAGTTTAATCTCGGTTGCAAGATACTTATATGCTTATGCATATTCCTCAAAATAAAACTTTTTTTCCCCCTACATATAGTACTTTAACAAAGAACTGCTACACTTTCAGGCATGGCAATTATGTCTTTGAAAGCTCACTAAAAGCATTTGAATACATTGAACTGCTCAATATACTAAAAGTAAGAGATAGACAGCCTAACCATGGCTTGTGGTTTTTGACTGCCTTCACTAATCTCTTATTTGCTGCAAATGTATCCCAATGTAACTGTTCACTATAGCAGCTAGAAATAATTCTTTCCCAATATTTTCTTCCTCTTTTCCTACTGTAGGAGTTTTAAAAAATTCTTCTTAAAGGGAGTGGAAATCATGTGAATGAATATAACATATTAGTTGTATTGATATATCATCTATCACTTTGGACTTTCACCACAATATGGAAAATGAAAGGTATTTCCTTACCTGACAGATCCGAGGCTCCTTTGACTCCTACCCTTAGGACAAGCCAAAGAAAGATGCAATACAAAGAAAGCATTGTGTTTTCAGTTTTCTTGCTTTGTTTCAGTATATCTATGCTATTGAAAGATCACAATACAGAGTGAATTAGGTCTTAGCCTTCATAATCACCTTCATTTCTCTAAAGTGAGAAATGGGAAATGAGGAAATAGAGGCCAATTTCACAACAAAAGTCACACAGGAAGTTCTGGGTTAACAAGACCTACGAGAATGGGCTCTTATGCACAATGCTTTATTGGAAAAAACAATGTGACTGTGACATTCTAAATGGTATATGATAGTTTCATATTATATATATATATATATATATAGATAGATATATGTATGTATGTATGTATGAAGGGAATGCATCAAAAACTCCATTATAGCATTAACCCTTTAAAATTTTTCCATTTTGAGGAGGCTATATTTCTTTTTGAACTTTTTCTCATTTAGAAAGATTGTTTCCATTGATCCTTTGGAAGGTCCTAGATGGTGGTTTTCTAAAGAGATGACTATAGCTAAAGAAAATGTCAGAATGCCCATAATAAAACTGGAGGTTGAGATGACATTTGTACAAACTAATAATGAGGTAAAAGTCTAAAAGCGGTTTAAAAGTGGAGAGAGAAAAAGGTGAATTATATTAATGGCCAATAAATGTATGAATTCTTACTGTTTTTTCATCAGAATATGGTTCCTTAGGTATTCCCAGATTATTTCTTATTGGTCATAACCAGCTGCACAACCTTAGGCAAATCATATAAACTTTTTAGACCTCTCATTCCTCATCTATGAAGTGGAAGGATTGTACAATATGAATTCATGTTCCTTCCACCTTTCAAGTTCAAAGTTTTTATGATCTGTGTCTTCAGTCTAAAGTGGATATGACTCAATTCTAATTACTGGCATTAGGAAAATATATCACAGAATCTTTGAGCTAGAAGATATTTAAAGTTCATCCAGCCTAGTCTGCTGACCCTAATTTTCCATTGTTCTTTCATTTCATGCATTTATTCTATAAATTTTTAAAACTCATACAATTTCAAGGAAAATTACAAACAGAAACAACTTGTGCTAAACTGAAAGTTTTTCTATAGGGTTTTGTGTTGTTGATGATTGATCTATTGTCTTTTGTAGCATTTCAATATGAAATTCAAAACTGGTTCTACAAATAGTACTTGAATTTTTTCAGATTATATAATGCAGTCATATGAGTATTGGCTCAGAAACTTAGAACTGGAAGGGAACTTTGAGACTATCAGGTCAATTCCTTCATTTTAGAAATGAGAAAACTGAGGCCCAGACAGAGAAGGTAACATGTTAAAGATCACACAAGTAGTAACAGAGTCAGGATTTGAACCCAGGTCTTCTGACACCAGATCAAGTACTCTTTCTCCTGAACAACTCTTCTTCCTTTCACATAGCAAAAAATAAACTTAAAGAAACTAAAAATGTGACAGAGTTTAAGCTCTTGGTCAATAGATAACCACCATCTTCACCAACCTTCACCAAGTGGCACAACATTAAAAAAATAATAATACATATGCAAATGCAAATGAGGCCACATAACCCTAGCTCAAAAAAAATAAGCACCCACACGTGTTCCAATGAGTTATATTAACCAGGCATTACAAGCAGAAATTAATATCATATAGCTATGTTTTAAGAAAAAAATGTGCAATGCGAATCTAGTTCTAATCATCTCAAATACTAACAAGAGAATGCTATCTATTTCAAACCGATTTTACAAACTTAGAAAAGTTAAATGAGTGAAAGGGTCAGAATACCATGATAAATACAAAGGCTACCAAATGGTACCAAATATAAGTACAACTTACAAAGAACCAAAAACCAGATTCATCATAACATTTCAATGCATGAAAAAGTCTGACTTTTTGCTATACAGAGCCTACAACACTGCATGTAGGACACCTTAAATAACTTTAAATGATAGAGAATCCATTTGATGATCATCTCAAGTTCAAATAGTCTCTTCCAATTAGGAATCAGTAGTGTAGTTAGCACAGTTCAAAATTTGATTATTGACTCATTCCCCCAATACACATAAGCATGCAGTCATGCATGCATGCACACATACACACACACACACACACACACACACACACACACGCAAGTTCTAGGATTCTTTCTGCCATCTTAAACTGTCTACAATTCTTTACTTCTGTGGAGACAATGAAGAGATGGAGAATGAAACTTAATCATTTTCTTTGCTGTTTTTTTAAATCTCTTACATGACAAGGTCTCCTTTGAAGGGATTCTACCACTTCTACCACTATTTTGTGTTGTTGAGTGATTTCAATCGTGTCTGACTCTTCGTGACCTAGTTTGGGGTTTTCTTGTCAGAGATAGTAGAATGACTCACTATTCCCTTTTCCAGCTCATTTCACAGATGAGGAACTGAGGCAAACAGGGTTAAGTGACTTGTCCAGGGACACACAGCTAGTAAGTGTCTGAGGTTGGATTTGAACTCATGAAGATGAGTCTTCCTGGCTGTAAGCCCAGTTCTCTATCCACTGTGCCACTTAGCTGCCCTTCTCCCACTATTATGAGGTAGTTTTTAAAAGATTCCCTAATATAAACTCAAAGCTCATATGCAACAAACACATGGCGTGAAGTAAAACACTGGGACGCACCAGTTAAATTAAGTTGTACTCTACATGCATGAATATAAAGGGCAGCTTTAATGACAGACAGAGTAGGTGGCCACCTACATGGTTTGATTTTAGGGACTCTGTAAGATACCTTTGCTTTCCTCTAATATATGACATGGGAAATTCCTTCATTTTAAAGCCAGAGATAAGGCTGAAAATGCAAATAAACCTGGGAGAAATGTCTTAAAATCATAAATATCTAAGTAACTGACCTCAATGCCTCCTACAGAGTGTATAATGAACAAATATTTATAAAATAAAAATGAATATAACATCATTTCATGAGAATAATTTTTTAAATGAGAAAAGAAAGAGAAAAAGAGCTTGAAAAAGGTGGGAAAGATGACAGACAGAAATAAAAGGGAAGACTACAGGACATAAAAGAAGGATTTTGCCTGAAGATGGTTTTGATGAATACACAGAAAACATTTTAGTGGATTTTTTAAATAGAATATTTTATCTTTTTTTGTTGTTATTGTTTGCTTGCTTTTTAAAAGTAGGGTTGGAACAGATTTGGGGAGAAGTGATCTGTGTAAAAATAGTGAGAAAATTCAACTCTAATATTGGGTCCATCATATCCTATTTATACCTATTGCATGAGAGGAAGCACAATCCCTGCCATCAAAGAATTGATAAGCTCTAATGTGAATAATCTAATTTAGACATCGTGAGTCCATGTATAATCTAATATCTTCCCTATTAATTCCTCAAAACATTCTTTATTCAAAAATATTCATAAAAATGTAGAATAATCTATATTCATAAAAAGAGTGTACAGTGTATGTGCACCCTAGTTATGGGTACTTCTTGTCTGCTACAACACTTTACTAATAGGAAAAGTAGCCTGGAGATGTTCCATTTATTGCCAGCACTGCCCAAGTCTTTTGCTCATGGGCATTTTACTAGTAGCACCCAAAATTGAATGGTGGGTAACAATTGTCTTACCTTAGTTACCAATAGTGAGACATGAGAAAAGCAGAGAGAGCTGTATTTCCTTTCTATTTCAGTCATTTCAAGGTGATGCAACTGATGAGAAGCATGTGGGAATATCCATTTTCACAGAATCCCATATTTTTCATAGCCAGGATGAGAGAACATATTGGAGAAAACCCTAAATTTTAGGGTTTGATGTTGATAAGTTAGACCTGTAGAAAGAAAGGAACTGTTATTATGAAACCTTCAATTAGCCAGCAAGAATACTAACTTCAGTCTTAAACATGCCCCTAAAAGGGGTTGTTTTCAACCAAATGGTCATTTTGTATAAAACTAGATTCGCTATTCTTCCATCAAGCAGAGGAAATGTCAGATATTTTAAAACCTTAAAAGATGAACATCTACAAATGCTGTCTCTGGCCATCCGATTCAGTCTGATAAGATGTGTGGTCTGGTTAAAATGAAAGAGTATATATGCTTATTTCCTTTAGAGGAAATTCCTCAGTACAGACCCTTTCTCAAATGTGGTTTTTATTTTCTTGTAATACTAACTGAAGAACATGTATGTAAGTTGTAACCTCAAGATTGAATAAGCTTCTTCTGGTATTTTTTTCATATCAAAAGCAAACAAATGAGGAGGAAAAATCCCTTTCAATACCTCTCATATGAAGTAATTGTTTGATTCATTTGGTTAGGGTTTTTTGGTGTTTCAGTTTTGGGTTTCTTTTTTTTGTTTGGTTAGTTGGTTTTACAGGAAGGGAAATAACTTTTACATAACAAAATCTTGACAGTTTTTACAATTTCTATTAAAAAAATGAAACATTCACAACGGATGATGTAATTAGGAGGCTTCTATACAGCTTCTAAAGATAATTTACAAACATTTAGTAACCTGGTGAATAAATAAAATTATAGTACCTACATGCATACGAAGGAACAGGGACAGCAAAATGAAAGAAAGGAGGAAGTTTGTAAAATCCTACCTACATCCCCAAATCCTTTTAGTGGGAGACATAGAAGAAGAAAGAGTACAGTGACTTCTAATTGCATTCCACCTGAGATGCCCTGGCAGACAACAGCTGACCAGGTTCTATTTGTTTTGAGACTCTAGCAGAAAGCCATTGACAGTAGTCAAAGGCAATTGAGCTATTATAAGAAAAGGCAAATGAGAACTATTTACAAAGATTTCCCTAGCGATCTACAAAAATGGAGGAAGAAAAGTAAGAGAAAAGATGAGAAGAGTGCTTTGGATAAATAAAACTTTCAATGGAGCCCCGTTGACTGAGCCACCAGGGAAATAAGTAGGCAGTTTGATCTAGGAATATAATCTTGCATAAAGCATGTGACTGGTATAGCAGAACATTCTAAGCGAGTTTTGCTACAGGTCGCAACCCTGAGGGAAAGGGGAAGGGCAAATGGGTGTAGTAAGTATACTCTGGCTGCTACATCAGCCCCTCAGGCTTTCAGGGTACCTGAAGGGCTGAGGTATCTCTTTTCTCTACTTCCATCAGCTAGATCCTCCATCTCCTGTGTTCTCCTCTTGATATTAGGGGCCAGTGAGTAGTGCTCAGTTCCATTTAACCACTTAACATCATTTAGCTTTCATGAAAGGTTATTTACTCTGAAAATACAGTGAGAACAAATATAAAAGCATTCCTTCCAACACATTGGGAACACACTTTTAACTCAATTCCCACATAAAATTGGTTCCATCACATTCACCCAGATAAGGTATGGCTGATGGATGAGTCCTCTTCCCAGCTACCACTAGAGTAGGTCACATATCTCTCAAAGATTATCCTTTGTCCCTTGAGGCATGTATGCTGTGCCAGAATTCTGGGATGCTAAGGCTCCTACCTGACTTTCTAAAGGTCATGAGAACAGATATGCCATTACCTAGAACAAAGAAGAACAAACACAAAGACCAAGGACTGAAGTCCATGACTTTCCTGGGGAAGGCCTTTCCCTATATAGCATTGTCTCTCACCAAACATTTTGAATGAAGTCAAACTACCAGAACAGAGCAAGGTAAGAGACCAGATCAGTACTGACTCAGGCCTTTTAAGTGCATCCGCAACCAATCAAAAAGCTTCCTATTTGCCATGTCGTTAGCCAATGAGAATCGGTTATAGATATCTGTGTATCCTCCCCAGGTTCTCCAGACACTTCTATCTTACATCACAACTCTCCTAGAAGCTTTAAATGGAAGTGGGATGGAGCGGAAGAAAATTACCTTCATGTATTTGCCAAGTCAACTAGAGTAACAGCTTCCTTCAAAACTCAGCTCAGTGCCACCTTCTCTCTGAGGCCCTTCCTAATTCCTTTTGGTAGTTATTGTTCTCTAACTCTTGAAATTACATTACATAACTTTGTATGTACTTTTTATTTACTTAACTTTTGTTCATACCCTAATCTCCCAGGAAAATGTGGACTTCTTGAGGGCAGAGGTAACTTCTTTTCTTTCTTTTTGTGTTTGTATCCCCTGTTCTTAGCAAATACTATAACCTTGCACGCAAGCAATGCTTAATTAATCTTGTCAAATTGAGTTTAAGAATAATAATGGTATTGGGAAAACTTTAAAATTACCATGGAGTTACTTTATAGAACTTAACAAAATAATAACAAAACTCATCCAGAGGAACAAAGAGTCAAGAATCTCAAGGGAAAGAATGGAAGAAAAATAGAGATGAAGGTGACCTAGTATATTCTGGGAAACAGTTTGCATATACTCCAAAAAATCAAGAAGCTACCTAGACTCTGGCTCAGAAATAACACTACTAGGCATATGTCTCAAAGAAGTAAAAGACAGAGGGAATGGAAAAATATGCATGAATATATTTACAGAAGTTCTTTTTGTTAAGAAAAGAACTATAAACAATATGGGTGACTTTTGGATTAGGTAAGCAACAGGATGGTAGGCTAGACATTTTCTCCAATATCTATAACCTCTCAAACTGTGCCAAAGATAAAGCAATTTCAGCTGTTCTCATGGTCTAAGACACCAAGAATCCAAAAGAAGGTTATAAAAAAGGAATTGCTATTCACTGACTCTAAGCTTACTCAGCATTCCTCCCCTATCTCCCATTTTACCAGTAGGAAGGATGCACTAGCATCCCAGGCCACAACACAGGCTTACATCAAAACCTATCCTTACACTACGGTCCCCTCTCCCTCTTTCCAGTGTCATAGAGAATCCAGTTCTAGACAGTGAAAGTTTCCTTGGGCCTCAACATCTGGCTTGTCCATTGCTCTTCAGGGATAAAAGCCTGCTGGGGGATGCAACCCAGAAGCACCAATACAGCAAAGCTCTCAACTGCTGGTATTTCTGAACTGCAGGTTCTGGAGAAAGCAGACTCAGCACTGTTTGTGCTAGCAAGCTTTTAACTGCCAGTGCTGAGCCAAAGAAACAACAAATGGAGGGAATAGGACCACTGTTTGTGGTAGTGTGTGTATGGATTGCTGTGCAACACTCCACCAAGCCCGAAGGAAGAGCACAATATTTACCTAGGGCCAGTTCTGGCCCCAAAATCAGTTGAGGTAGAGATGAAAGTTGGTGATCTGTGAATTGCCCAGAGTGGGAGGAGATTAAGACATTTTACTATCCAGCCCCCAAGGAAAACACAATCAGAGGGAAGGGAATCAGGATTGAATCAGGAAGAAGAAATCTCAAAGATCTTGAATGTAAACAGATAAATCAATAGGAAAAACAGAAGGAAATTTGGCCTCCACGTGTAGTAAAATAGTTCAAGTACCTGTGAATAAATACTGCAAAACAAAGTAAAATGATCCAATATTTGATGAGACAGTGGGAGTTGAGAGCATGGTTCCATGCTCTCATATTGTTCCTGAATAATTAGAAGAGAAATGTGGAGGAGAATAGAATTTATGACCAGCACAGCAAAAATAATAAGCAGAATAAAAAAACATGAATATGCAGTAGTAGGCCTCACAGTATATTTAACTTTCTAACAACTTGGCCAGCCCATCAGAGTTGTGTTCTTTGTAGCGGTTTGGATTCTTAGCAATTCAGCTCAAGAAAGGACCTCAGTTTGTCAGGTGATCTTTAGAACTTTCCTAAGACAATTTAAATGGAAATGATTCAGTTTCCTGGCATGTCAATGGTATACTATTCAGGTTTCACAGGCATACAGCAATGAGGTGAGCACAACAGCTCTGTAGACCTCCTTCCCTCCCATACATTTTTTGTTTTGTTCTTTCCACTTACATTGTTGCAGTTATTGCATATATTATTTTCCTATTTCTTCTTACTTCTCTCTATATCAGTTCATAGAAATCTTCACATGTTTCTCTGAATTTTTTATTTTATAAGACAGTACTATTCCACTGTATTTATGTGCCAGATTTCATTTAGCTAGACCTCTATCAATGGGTACCTACTTTGCTTCTTTTTCTTGGGTATGAAAAAAGTGCTGAAAAGAATTTTTTTTTTTGGTGAGGCAATTGGGGTTAATTGACTTTCCCAGAGTCACATACCTAGTGAGTGTTATGTGTCTGAGGTCGGATTTGAACTCAGGTCCTCCTGACTCCAGGGCCAGTGCTCTATCTACTGAGCCACCTAGCTGCCCCTGAAAAGAATATTTTTAAAAAATATATATGTGGGACCTTTTTCTGTCTTTGAATTCTTTGGTGGCAGGGTAGTGACTCTTTCTTTTGTCATCTTTGTCAATTTGCTGTGTTTGAGTTGTTTTGATTTACATGCATTATATTCTTTTGTGGTTTAGAACATTCTTTCATATGTTTGTTAATTGTTTGCAATTCTTTTTTCTTGAGAATTTTTTGTTCCTAGCTGGTGGTGAATGACTTTGGTTTTATATATTTATGAAATTCCCTACATACTTTGGATATTAGAACTTTATCAGAGAAAATTTATAAATTTTTCCAATTCCAATTTTCTCTTTATCCAACTCCATTGATCATATAAAAGTTTTTCAATTTAATTCAATCAAAATTACCTATTTTATCTTTTATACTCTCTTCTCTCCTCATTTAATTAAGAATTCTTCCCCTATTGTATTTGAATTCTTAATTAAACAAGGGCCAGTAGTGATCACAAAAGATGAACTAGATAAATTAGATTGTAAGAAATTCAAAGGCTTTTGTATAAGCAAAATTAATTAGGATAAGAAGGGAAGCAGTCAAATGGAAAGAAAATGAAGCAAATACTCTGATGAGGTCTGGTATCTAAACTATATAAGCAGCTAATACATATATATGACCAAAAGGTTGTTTCTTTCAGAACCTCCCAAACACTGAGCTAGCTTTGGCAATGCATGCATCAACCTCGTCATCAATGCGTACATCCTTGGAAAGTATCCCAAGATAAGTGAACTTACCCACAGCATTCAATATTTCTCCATTTGCTGTAACCAATGGTTCCGCATGTGTATAGTGTGGGGCTGGCTGGTGGA